TAGTCAAACCCCATCTCTACTAAAAATACAAAAATTAGCTGGGCATGGTGGTGCACACCTGTAATCCCAGCTCCTCGGGAAGCTGAGGCAGGAGAATCGCTTGAACCTGGGATGGGGAGGTTACAGTGAGCCGAGATCGTGCCACTGCGCTCTAGCCTGGGCAACAGAGTGAGACTCTGTCTCAAATAAATAAATAAATAAATAAATAAAAATAAGTTGTCATCATGAAAGGGACTTACCACACAGGCTAAAGTAACAAACACTTGGTAGATCAGATTATTTAAAATTACATCTAAAGTTTCTCTGACCCTGACATTCTATGATTTAGTCATTATTTTGAATAGCCACTATGTGCTAAGTCTTGGGTTAAGTTCCTCTCATAAAAAGGAATAAGACATACCCTCAAAGAGCCCACAGTTTAGTGGTTTAGTGAAGCGCATTGCATAAACTTAGAAATGTATAATACAGTCTAAGAAGTACTTATATGACATCGGAAAAAAGAAAATGTGCATCTATCCCAAACTGGGAAGGGGAGTTAAAACGAAAAACTGAAAATGCTTTCTAGACATGATGACTAAACTAATTCTTGAAGGAAGAGTAGAAAGCTAGCTAGGTTTTGCTTTATCTATTGCAATGTAACAAGCCATCCCTAAAACTTAAAAGCAAAAATATATATTATTATATTTCATAATGTTGTGGGTAAGAAATTCAGGCAGGCATCAGTTGGCCAATTCCTCTGCCTTTCTCTTAAGGTTACTCAATGGTACTCAGCAGCTGAGCTGGGTTGAGCTGCAGGGTCTAAGACAAATTCACTCACATACCTGGTCTCTTGTAGGGGATGGCTCTAAAGACTGGTCTCAACTAGAACCCTCCTCTTTATGTGACCCCTTTAGTAGGGTAAATGTATTCTCATATGGTGGCTCAGGACTCCAAAACTAGTGCCACAAGAGATCAACATGAACGGTCAGACCAATGAACTTGGATTTGCTATATTACATAAATTGTAAACATTCTAAGAACTTGGGTAAGAGAAAATGATGTCTGCAAAAACCGATTTAACTTATCTCTATATCAGATGGGCCAGATGCAACAGATGTGGGAGCACAGAAAACCGCTTAATTGTTACAAATTTTATATTAAGACCTACACTTGTGTGGTATCTATAGCAACAGAAAATAGAGGTCATCCAGACATTACTGTGAAGACATACTAAAATCATAGCTAGCAAGGTGTCTATTTGACTCCTAACTACTGATTATTGGGGAACAACATCTTCTAACTACTTGCTTCAGATGGGTAAAAAACAGAGATGGAAAAAAGCAGACATCAGTTGATTTTTTAAGACTGATGACTATTCACTTCATTCAAGCTAACACTAAAGATGTCAGAGGCCTAGTACTGGATAAATGTGCAAAGCATCAATTAAGGCTCATACTAAGACTTGACTGTTTATCATGGAGGTAAGATTCAGGGAAATGTCCCATGAAGTTTCCTATGGATGCCTGAATAAATCTTCCCCTTGCCACTATACCTTCCTCCCTTGCCTGTAACTCCTAACTATGAACCGAAGAAATAAGTAGGTAATTGCTCACAAAGAGAACTACAAGAAGATTTAAAAGTCACTTATAAATTCAACTAAAGTTATTCAACAAAATAGACTGTTATCTTCAGGAAAATAACATTCTTTATAAAATTATACATTTCTTAAGCAAACTTCCCAGACCAGTGCAATAAGGAAGGTACTTAAGACACTCCTACCTTCCTAACTCCAATTGTCCCCAAGTTATTTTCTTGGTTTAAAACTAAGAAATAAGGCCAGGCACTGTGGCTCATGTCTGTAATCCCAGTACTTTGGGAGGCCGAGGTGGACGGATCACCTAAGGTCAGAAATTCCAAATAAACCTAGTCAGCATGGTGAAATCCTGTCTCTACTAAAAATGCAACAATTAGTCTGGCGTGGTCATGGGTGCCTCTAATCTCAGCTACTCAGGAGCCTAAGGCAGGAGAATCGCCTGAACCTGGGAGGCAGAAGTTGCAGTGACCTGACATTGCGCCACTACACACTCTATCTGGGCAACAGAGCAAGAGTCTCAAAAAAAAAAAAAAAAAAAAAAAAAAAAAAAAAAAAAAAAAACAGTTAAAAAAAGTAAAACTAAGCAATACTTTAGCTTTTCTTAGACTCTAGAGCCAGTCTTATGATGTTCAATTGAGTAGCTCGGAGCTTTCCCTCAGGCCACTTCATCATTGTTTCCCCATCAGCTAATTCAAACGAGACTAATAAAAGACAAGCTTTCACAATCGGACTCCCAAGAGAAGACAGCCGGATTGGGTCGTTGTCTGTCCCTACCAACTTTACAGACTTTAGATTATTGGAGCAGATCACTTACATTTGTGCAACCAGTATACCTATTTTCAAAAGAAGGTCTGTTAATCCTGAAATCATCTTGGGGTTTGACTTATCAAACTTATTTCTTGAAGTAAAATGAATTCTAAAAGCATTAAGTATTTTTACAAGACATAGAAAAAGATTGATCCTTTGAGAGGAAATGGCCAGGCTGGAAAAAAAAAAAAAAAGAAAAGAAAAGAGAAAAGAGGCTGGGCATGGTGGCTCACGCCTGTAATCCCAGCACTTTGGGAGGCCGAGCTGGGTAAATCACAAGGTCAAGAGATCGAGACCATCGCTTCTCGGCCTTTTGGCTAAGATCAAGTGTGAAGAGATCGAGACCATCCTGGCCAACATGGTGAAACCCCAACTCTACTAAAAATGCAAGAATTAGCTGGGCGTGGTGACACATGCCTGTAGTCCTAGCTTCTTGGGAGGCTGAGGCAGGAGGATTGCTTGAACCTGGGAGGCAGAGGGTGCAGTGAGCTGAGATCATGCCACTGCATTCCAGCCTGGGTGACAGAGCAAGACTCCGTCTTGAAAAATTAAAAATAAAAATAAAAAAGAAAAAGAAAAGAAAGAAAAAAGGGAGGGAGGAAGGGAAAGAAGAAAGGAAGGAAGGAAGGAAATAAAGAAAAAGATTGAACTACATAACAATAGAAAAAAGGATGCCTGATTTCGTTGAAAGGACTATAAACTTTAAAATGAGAGATTTACAGCTTACAAATCATCTCCTCTCAGATGCACTTCTTTTGTAAAAATTTAATCACTTTCTCAGCCATGTACATTTACAGCATATTCAAGTGTAAATCAAATCACTAAGACAATGACACCATTCACAATTTATAAACTGTGTCCATAAAAAAGTCCATTTTGCCAATAATAAATAGGAACAGTCTCTGCATCACTTTGATTTCCATAAAGAAGTATTATCAGAGGTTGATACCTTCTTTTTTTAAAAAAGACCACTTTATTTATTTATTTATTTATTTATTTATTTATTTATTTATTTGACAGAGTCTTGCTCTGTTGCCCTGGCTGGAGTGCAGTGGCCTGATGTCGGCTCACTGCAACCTCCACCCCCTGGGATCCAGTGATTCTCCTGCCTCAACTTCTCTAGTAGCTACGATTACAGGCGTGTGCCATCACGCCCAACTAATTTTTGTATTTTTAATAGAGAGAAGGTTTTACCATGTTGGCCAGGCTGGTCTTGAATTCCTAACCTCAAGTGATCTGCCTACTTCGACCTCCCAAAGTGCTGGGATGACAGGCATGAGCCACAGTACCCAGCCCATATGTTATCTTTTTTAAATAAAACACCTTATTCTTTTAGACCCATGGAACACTTAACTATTATATCATGACTTTTGTTTTGCAAAGTCTGCCCCAAAGCAGTTTTTTGTTTTTTTTTTTTAATGTATTAAATACCTAACACTGCTATGCGAACATACCGTCACCAGATGGCAGTTGTATGCCACAGCCCTCAAGGTTTGATCTGTAAGACATAAGCTAAGATTTGTTTCATTGAGATAGAGATATTATTTTTCACCGTGCTCATATCAAAAGCATATAATAAACTTAAATAACAAAATCTGAAAGCACTTCTTTATTTGAGACGGAGTTTCTCTCTGTCACCCAGGCTGGAGTGCAGTGGCATGATCTCAGCTCACCACAACCTCAGCCTCACAGGTTCAAGCAATTCTGCCTCTGCCTCCAGAGCCCCTGGGATTACAGGCATGCACCACCATGGCCAGCTAATTTTTGTACTTTTAGTAGAGACAGGGTTTCACCATGTTGGCCAGGCTGGTTTCAAACTCCCTACTTCAGGTGATCCGCCTGCCTCAGCCTCCCAAAGTGCTGGGATTACAGGTGTGAGCTACTATGCCTGGCCTGAAAATACTTTAGAACAAATGTCACACAAGTAAACTACAGGATGCAATTTTATTTGCACAACATATCTTCAACCAAATACCAATGTTTCATTAAAATGCTAACCTTTATATCTGTTATCACTTAGACTTAATAGTTCTTCCTGATTTTCTTTTATCCTCAATTCACAGTCTTGTTCCACACCCTTCGCACAACATTCATTTAGTCAAACACCATATAGCCATGGCAGCCTAGTTATCCCAACTAAAAGAATAGTGTCTCTTGTGGTCTCTTCATCTCCCTGAAGCTTTCTAGTCATTTTATTTTTGTCTCTTTCTTCCTCTTCACTTTCACTCTCCATAATTCCTAGAAAATGTATCTTGAAGCTTGTTTCTACTCTTAAAAATTTAGTTTAATTTAGCCAGACATGATGGCTCACGCCTGTAATCCCAACACTTTGGGAGGCCAAGGTGGGCAGATCACCTGAGGTTGGGAGTTTGAGACTAGCCTGACCAACATGGAGAAATCCTGTCTGTACTAAAAAGACAAAATTAGCTGGACGTGTTGGTGCATGCCTGTAATCCCAGCTACTCGAGGCAGGAGAATCGCTTGAAGCCGGGAGGTTGCAATGAGCTGAGATCACGCCATTGCACTCCAGCCTGGGCAACAAGAGTGAAACTCCATCTCAAAAAAAAAGAGTTATTTTTCTTGTTGAGAAGAATTTACACTGTTCCATTGCTGGAACTGACTACTTCTGTGTTTCATAATGATTGGGTTTTCACACTTATATGTGAGATGTGCCTCCCTCAAAACTTGTTAGGAGTAGTGGCTAGACATATTACCTATCTGACTTGAAAAACAGAAGAGAAAACTGGACCTGGTGACTCACTCCTGTAATCCCAGCATTTTGGGAGGCCGAGGCAGGCGGATCATGAGGTTAGGAGTTCGAGACCAGCCTGACCAACATGGTGAAACCCTATCTCTACTAAAAATACAAAAATTAGCTGGGTGTGGTGGCGTGCGCCTATAATCCCAGCCACTCAGGAGACTGAAGCAGGAAAATCACTTGAACTTGGGAGGCAGAGGTTGTGGTGAGCCGAGATTGCACCACTGCACTCCAGCCTGGGTGACAGAGAGAGACTCCGTTACAAAAAAAAAAAAAAAAAAAAAAAAAAAGAGAGAACAAATAGCATTTTTAAAAGGTGCCTAAACAATCCAATGCAAAAATGGGCAAAGGACTTGAATAAATATTTCTCCAAAGATATACCAATCAATAATAAGCACATTAAAAATACTCAACATCATTAGTTATTAAAGAAATGCAAATCAAAACCATAATGAAATAACACATCATACCCATTGCAATGGCTACAAACAAAAGAAAAAAAAGGAAAATAAGTGAGGATGTGGAGAAATTAGAACCCTTTTATATTGCTGGAGAGAATGTCAAATAGTGCAGCCACTATAGAAAACAGTTTGGTAGGCCGAGTGTGGTGGTTCACACCTGTAATCCCAACACTTTGGGAGGCCAAGTTGGGTGACTCATTTGAAACCAGCCTGGCCAGTATGGTGAAGCCCCATCTCTACTAAACATACAAAAATTAGCCAGGCGTGGTGGTACACGCCTGTAATCCCTGCTACTTGGGAGGCTGAGGCAGGAGAATTGCTTGAACCTGGGAGGCAGAGGTTGCAGTGAGCTGAGATGGCATCATTGCACTCCAGCCTGGGCAACAGAGAGAGACTCAGTCTCCCCTCCCCACACACACACACAAAGAAAAGTAAAGAAAGAAAATGGTTTAGTAGCTTCTCAAAAAATTAAACATAGAATTTCCATATTATTCAGCAGTACCATCCCTAGGCACTGCTGGTATATACTCCAAAAAGAATTGAAAGCAGGGACTCAAACAGATACTTGTACACGCATGCTCATGGCAACATTATTCACAATACTGAAAGTTAACACAACCCAAGTTTCCATCAGTAGATGAATGGATAAACATTATGTGATATATACATACAATGGACTATCACTGAGCCGTAATAAGGAAGGAAATGCCTATATATACTGCAACATGGATGAAACTTAAACATACTATGCAGACACAAAAGGCAAATATTGTATGATTCCATGTGTATAAGATACCTAAAATAGTTAAAAGCATAGCGAGAGAAAGTACAATAGTAGTATCCAAGGACTTAGGGGAAGGGAAATGGGGAGTTAGTGTATAATGGGTACAGAGATTCAGTTTGGGAAGAGGAAAAGGTCTAGAAATGGATGTTCATGATGGTAGCACAACAGTGTAAATATACTTAATGTCACAGAACCGTACACTTAAAAATGGTTACGAAGATTTTTTTTTTATTTTTTTATTTTTTGAGGCAGAGGAGTTTTGCTCTTGTTGCCCAGGCTGGAGTGCAATGGTGTGATCTCTACTCACTGCAACCTCTACCTCTTGGATTCAAGCAATTCTCCTGCCTCAGCCTCCCAAGTAGCTGGGATTACAGGCATGCGCCACCACACCCAGCCAATTTTGCATTTTTAGTAGAGACAGGGTTTATCCATGTTGGTCAGGCTAGTCTGGAACTCCCGACCTCAGGTGATCCTCCTGCCTCAGCCTCCCAAAGTGCTGGGATTACAGGCGTGAGCCACTGAGCCTGGCTAAAGGTAAATTTTAGGTTATTTACCACAATTAAAAAAAAAAAAAAATTAAATATGCCCATGGGCTACTTGCTGATAATAGAAGCCTAAATAGGAATTGTCTCAATTTAAAGAAGAATATGTCATGAAGCAGGAGATTTTGAATAAAGGAAAACAAGCATAGCTTTATCTGGCTGTGTCATAAACCATTAATTCAGAACTTGTAATTATTCAAGCCAGTGTTGACTTTCTGGGTCTAGCAAAGCATATCTTCTCATCATTGTAAACAAGAGGCAGAATTAATCAATTTAACAGAACAATCTATAACTTCCTCAGCATATTTAGGGTCTATGTGAAAATTAATGTTACTAATAATAAGTACTCATCCCACAGTTGAACTTCCCATAAACTTCAGTATTTAGGGGGGGCCTGTTATGCAGTGTAACTTTGTTCAGATGAGGGTACGCTTCTCGTTTATCTAACATTTTTGTTTTATTGTTTCTCTGGCATGACAGAATCTCTCCTGCCTCTCTGAAAGTTGTCTTCCTCTATCCCAGCTTTTCTAATCCATCTCCGAGAGAGTAAAGAACCTGGATTATCCTCACATCATTAATATTGTATTATCATTGCCTACCATTGTCTGGGGACGTAGTTTGTGAAAGCACTGCGCAGTGCTTTCTCAGTGTTATCTCTAATTCTAAAAATCCTGCAAGATAGACACTGGAATATCTATTTTTGAGATTGGGAAACTAAGGCAATAGCGGTTAGGTGTCTTTGATGGAGGCCACACAGCTATTAAACGTCCACCAGCTTTTAAACATGTCTTTCATCACCAAAGCCTGTATGTGACCTTTCCGATACTGTGCCACCTTCCAAATACTATCTTATTGCAATTAGACAAATTCTATGAGAGTCTGTACTAGTCCTAAAAGGAACAAAGATGCATTTCTTCAAAAAGAATGTTAAATAGAAAAAAAAAAAAAAAAAACTTTTTGCTTGAAGTGGCCTTGCTCCTTATTTTAATTTTTTTCTGATTCAGTGCAATTTGACTGTGAAAGCCTTGTAGCTCAAAGTTCCCTCCACAACCCTAATATTTAGCTCTCAGATTAATGTTAGCATGTCTCTGAGGATGGTTTTCTTCTTGATGACCTTAGCAGGAAAAGAAGTTATCCCCTTCATCAACTCAGTCTATAGGCAACACCAAAACGTGAAGAAGTGGGCTTCAGTTTCTGTCTCAAATAATCTCTTTATGTAAATCCTCAGAACCCAGCCAAGGCAGCTTAGAGGGCAAAGCAAAAGTCTTCTGTGACTGCAGAGAAAAGTTTCCAGGAAGCCAGGGATCTCACAGGCTGGTCTCAGCTCTGCTTGTCAAAGAGCAAGCAAAAGAATCAAAAACAGATAAGGAACAAGCAGATAAGAGAAGCTCCAATATGGTCTAAAACAAACTAACAAAGAAGAGATAAGATGTTTGCAGAAAAAAAATAACCTTTGGATGTCCAAAGGGCTAGCCTTTGACAAAACTGTGAAGGAGACTGTGTGTTTTCTCTTTCACGCCATCTGCATTCACCTCTCCTCTTATCATTCTACTCCTCCACCCTAAGTAGTCACAGAACTAATAAATACTTCTTGAATAAATGCATGTTTAAGCCTCCTAGAGTGAACTTGCCTTCCCCCTGCCACCCCCTTAACATATTTCATGTTCCATGACATCCTCCCTATCCAAATCAAAACTTGCTCCCTCCTTTACATTCTCATTTAGAAACTGATCAAATTCACTTGGTCACTTTATCTAGCAAATATGTTGATAGTTGGTAAAGATTTAAAGCACTACCCCTACCAGATTACACATTTGCATTTTGATGGGGTTATCCAAACCCTAGACCTGTCTTTCTCTCTCCTCTATCTCTTCCTCTGCTTTCACTTGTGAATCCATAAATTCCATCATGGTGTTTGCACAACCTCTCCAACAAGTAAGTTTTGGCTGTGTAAGATAAAGGACTAATGGCCATAAGAGATATGGTATATGTTTGCAAACATTAATGGGGCATTGCCTCTAAGCCTGGGACTCCTCAACTTGAAGGGGCTTACAATTTAGCTGGGAGGCAAAACTAACACCAATAAAAAGTCAAACAACAGAACTGAAATCTGGTGGCCTTCCTAGATTTAATAATTTGCAACACCAGCTGACTCCAGTGATCTGACACTACCTAGCAGAGATAGAAGGGCTCAGAGAAAGATCTAAAAGTACTATCGTCAACGTATATGGCAGTAGCAACAGTATCTAAATGGTGGAGGGTGAATGAGACAAAGTCACAAATACATTGTCAAAACAAGCCCCTATCCATAGCATGCACACCCATAAATCCTAGTTTGTGTTAAGAGTATTCCAGTGGTGAGCATGCAAGCTCAGAAAATACATGGACAAGCCACTATTTGGTAAATACCTCCTCAAAACTGGCTTCCATCATTTCCCTGTGAATACATTGGAAATAAAATTGATGATTTTTAAATTAACTCTGTGTCTAATATCCAGATGGTAATTTCAGCAATTACACAAAACAATTTCCTTAGGTTGCCGCTCTGAAATCATGATATAGGAATGGAATTTTCAAAAAGATATTTTGAAACACTACTGAGAGAGGTTGGAAGTTGTTGGGCAAGGGGATACATAAAAGGAATTACCTGTTAAGTTTTTCTTATCTCTCCGAACTATACAGGCATAGAAGGGGCAGCTGCTTGCACCCTCCTAAATATTTAAGTGGTGGTGAAATCATTCTAATGATCTGTTTTCAAATAACCTGAATTCCTGTCAAGCTTAGGTTAAGTATTTCCATAGTACCTTTCTCTTTCATATGCCTTACAGCACTGAGTACAGTGCTTTTAACCCAGAAAAGAAATTCAACATATGCTTTCCCATTTATTCTAGTGGAGACCCCAACCTTTTAGAAGTTTCTGGTACAAACTAAAATTTTTCTAACTCCAAGCTATGTTTCAGAAAGTTTATAATCCTATCTCTCAACTGGACTATTACCTTTTCACTGAGAAATTCACTGAATTCAAACCACCAGTTCACATTAGAAGAAAGTAAGAAATTGATCAGAAGGGAGGGGAAAAAACATGAAGAATATCAAAACTGGCCGGGTGTGGTGGCTCATGCCTATAATCCCAGCACTTTGGGAGACCAAGGCAGGTGGATCACCAGAGGTCAGCAGGT